TACCAAAATTCATGACCATTTTAGGTTTTTTTTCATTTCACAACCATGAAAGTAGAGCTGTCAAAATTAGGGGTGACAAAATGGATGGATTGGATGAATATGGATTGAATTGTTAATGGATGGACCAAAATAATTCATTATCCAATCTAATCCATCTGTTAAGAATAAAATTCATCCATTAACATATTTTTAATGGATGGATATCCATCCATCCAACTTTTTTTTTTGAAAAAATAAACGTATTTTTTTTATTTTTAAAAAATCGATTTTATTTTATTATTGAAAAATTCATTTTTTGTATTTTAAAAAAACATTGTTTTTTAATATATTCATGAAAAAAATGAATTTTTTTATTTCAAAAAATCATTTTTTTTTTGGTATTTTCAAGAAAAAAATTGATATTTTAATTTTTGAAAATTATCGGTTTTTTTTTAAAAAAAAGTTGGTTTTTTTGGAAAAATTTGAATTTCTTGTATTCCAGAAAATTGATATTTTAATTAAAAAAAAATGGTTTTTTTTTGGGAAGAAAATATGTTTTTGTTATATATAAAAAATCGGTTTTTTGTTTTGAAAAAAAAGTCGTTTTTTCCGGAAAAGAAAAATCAATTTTTTTCGAAAAAAATCAAAATTTTTTCGAAGAAAAATTCGATTTTTTTTTTGGAAAAATTTTGATTTTTTTATTGTAAAAAAATCAATTCTTTTCTTTTATAAAATTTATTTTTAATTATTTTTAAAAAAATAAATCTAACAAAAATAAAAATAATTCATTGGATCTTTAAAATATGTTGGATCGATTGAATTCATCTATGCATATAAATGGATGTATTTAATTCAATTCATTAACTTATTTTTTATGTAGTAAATGGATTGGATGAAATTTTTGATGGATAAATTAGATGGATTTTACCTTAATAGATCCAATTGACACCTCTAGTCAAAATGAGTTAACCCATCAGATCCTAACAATCATAAAGTTTGGGGCTTAAAATTAGAGTACATTTTTTTTAGAGATTTTTTAGCCTAACTTTAAAAAATCTGTTACCCATTAGGGTTAGTTCATATGAGCCATGGATAGTCCATTAGACCCTTATCATTATAAAATTTAAAAAATTATATTAATCTTTATATTGTCTTACTCCAAAATAACATATTCATTTTTATCATCTCACTAAATTTTATCTCTATTCTATTCAAACTTTCTCTTTTAAATATTATACATTAATATAATCAACATTTTTTTTCCGTATTCTATTAGTTTCTCTTATGTTAAATATTCGAGTATTATTTTATATAATTTAGATATGTATAATATTTAAAAACACATTATAGTATTTATAAAAGTTAATATAATACTTAAAAATCTTGTTTAAAATAATATAATTTTTAATTTTATTTAAAATAAATATTATGACAATTTTATTTTAATTTTTTATTTAAAAAAAAATCTGATTAAGGTCAGATAGTTCAAAGTCCATTTAAAGACGAATTCAGATAGTAATTTCTAAGTCCATGTTAGAGAGTTTTTTGGCTCAGTCCTAAAAAGTCCGAGCTCACGGTCCGTTCTAAGTCGGATAATTCATTTTGACCGTTCTAAGTCGGATAATTCATTTTGACAACTCTACAGGAAACAATCATGATACACGTGTCACTTTCTTATTGGTCCACCCAACATGGTTTCAAAGCGCAGTAAAATTTCCCCAATTTCAAACCCTCCTCTAATTCTCCATCATTAATTCAGATTCACATACAATACACCGCACAAGATCATTTCTCCTCTTCGTTACTCAAATTTCTATCTTCGCTCCAAAACGCGCCACTGCAAAACCTCTTCCACTTCTGTTTCACAGTAAGTTACGCTCCAATGCCATTTTGATTTATTTTCCTTTTTCGTGAACCAAAACGCAATGTTGATATATCTAAGAGTTTTATGTAAGATTTCATAATTGATTTTTCTATCTAATTTTGTTTTCGTGTTGTATTATATGTAATGTAATAGAAGTGGAGTATGAGTGCATCTTAGGATGAAAAATGGGGTTAGAGAATTTAGTAATTCATAGTAAGATGAATTTATATGGTAGAATACAAGTTATACAACAAATTTTGAAGTGTTAAAAAGTGTTTGATAGAGCAAATTTAAGCAATTTAAATGATTAAGTTTGATTTGGTTGATGTACTAAGTGAAGATTTAGGGTTTTGGTCCTGGCTTTTTGTAGTAGAACTGTGTAACTGATAAGCCGACGCTATTTTAGAAGAGGCAAAAATAATTTTAGACTTATAGAGTTGATTTTGAATGGTTTTGATGTGTTTGATTCTTCAAAAGTAGAATTGATTATAGAATTGGTAGCTTTTGAGTTTAAATGTGATTTTTACACTGAAATTTATCGTTCAACTCACTTTTACATAAATGTGTCCAAACATAAATCACTTTTATCTTTAAATCACTTTTACAGAATTGATTCACTTAAAATTAGTTTTCGTCACCGTAAAACCAGACGCACACTAAGTGAAAATATAGGGCTCTGGTCATGGCTTTTTGTAGTAGAACTGTGTATCTGATAAGCTAAAGGATTCCAATTTGTTTTCTCGATTTTGTGTTTTACTTTATTTTTTCTGTTTAGTTAGAGTTTATCAAATTGCTCATGGATCCCATCAAATCATGTGGGTCCAAAATAAATTTGGTGAGAACCAGATGAATTTTGACCAATAAAATGTATGAGAAGTCTTGTTAATTAGAACTATAGAAGTGGATAGCTTATTTGTTGGTAATTCATGTATACATTTGCAGAATAGGTTGCTACTTTGCTCTGCATTTTGATATAAACTCAATTATGGCTTTAATGGTTTCAAATAATGGTATCGTTGTTATAACTTGCAAGTACATTGGCCTGAAAAGAGTAAGCTTAGGGCCTGTTTGTTTCGTTTTTTTAAAAAATGATTTTTATAGTATTACGTATTTTTGTGTAAAAGAAATTTACAAAGAAAAGTTTCAAATAAAAATTTGGTTTATGGAGGAATTATTGGAAAACATTGTTTGGACTCCTAGACTGTGGCGCCCTTGGTGCTTTCTCTAGGAGTATATGACAATTAAAGCAAAGAAAATGTCAGATTCTAAAAAAAGAAATATATATAGAAAAGAATACTATTTCCCTTTCTAACTAGAGTGAGTTTACTCTATTCGAATGACAACAATAATTTAATAGAGTTTAAATTCTAAATTGGATTTTTTATAATGAAATTCAACTATTCATTAGTTTTTTTTATTTTATTACAAACTTGTCCACCTAAACCGGAAGCGGTTATAGATGCTATAACAAAACTTCATAAGAAAATATCTCGAGAAATCTATGAAGATCCAATTAGTTATCAACGTAGGTGTTTTACTACCAACCACAAATTTGATGTTGGACACAGTACTCATACCGGCAATTCTAATCAAGGATTATTCTATCAACCATCATCTATTTCCGAGATAACCTCGGACACATTTTGGAAATATGTTATTTTAGGTATTGTATCATTTTATTGAAACTTTTTTTTGGATATCAAAATTTCAAAAAATCACTTAATATTGAAGCTATTTCAAATAAATCATTTTTGAAATACAACATTTTGAAAAAATTGCGATTTCGACTATGTTTTGATCTTCAATAATATATGTGTATGTTATAGGATGTCAAAATTAGTCTTTCAATTTAGAAAAAACGAATTAAAAAAAACATGTAATATTTTGAAAAATGTTTTTATAAAAATTATTTTTGAAAATACAAAGAAAAAATTACTTTTTTAAAGCTAAAACAAAGAAGCCCTTAATTTGGTTTAAAGAGAAGGATTAGTGGTTCATAGCTTTTAATCATGAATGGTTTTCCAAATACTGGGGCTTTTTAATATGTAGAATCTTAGGTGAGAACGAATATGGACAGGTGTGGAACTTGTCTAACCTTTGTGTGTGTGTCCATGGATCTTGCTCTCTGCAATTTTATGTGACATTTGCAGTGGGGATCTGAGCATACCCTTATATGGAAGCATTGTTGTTGGAATAGTTTTACCTATTCACTAGTTATAATATACTCACATCCTGCTTTTTTCAAGTTAATGCTGGAATACAAAGAGAAGAATAGCTTGTAAGTAGAGATATGCTGAAGAAAAGAAGATAAAGGAAATTAATAACTCAACTTTTATTATCATTGGCTAATGGTTTCTGCTTAGATATGATAAACTAATTAAAGCAACTCGCTTTGATGTCTGATTCCATATTTCTTTGGACTAATAGGGTTAGTTTTTCTTACCATTTCTTTTATAATTTCTTTCAACTTTTAGGTACTTCCATTTGTGGCACTTTATGTAAATACTTTAGTTGGCTATTGAAAGTTACACGGTATCTTGGTCGCCACCAAAGGGAAAGAGGGATGGATGGGCCTGGGTGGGGAAGAATAGAATACTTTCCAACATAACTGTGCTAACAGTGACCAAATTCGTGTTCTAATACACTTTTTTCTGAAGAAAGGATAGACATAGACCTTCATCTAGAAACAATTTTGAGGCCTGTAGAATCTTATACAAACAGGTTATTATTAGTTATGGGCAGTAATCTTGTTTTGGCACTATTGTTATTGTTAACATGATATACTTGTGGTAGTATGACTGATATATGAATTTTGACTTATCTTAAAAATGCAATTCATTATACTGTTCCTTGTTTTACCCTCTCCTTTTGGCCGGTCCTATGTATCAAGCTGTTATGTAAGTTCTGTTTTATGCAGCCCAGCTGATAATAAATAATAACCTGCTATCGTCACTTTAATTGTAATTTTTTTGTCAACTCAATAAGCATTAAGTGTATCTACTCTGATGCTTATTCTTTATTTCCTCAAGTGTTTTTGGTTGATTGAGTATATATGCACCTGTGAATTCTGAAACACTGAATTTTTACATATCAAAGTTCACGACTATTTAAAAATGTAATAATGTATATCTTGATATAATAAATTGGGCAGATTTTTATGGATTTTGTGATAGTGGATTCGGACAAGGGAAACGAGGCAGATCGTGGCTGTCTAGAAGAGAGTACAAGTATATTTGATGGAATTGAAGTTCAAGAGCCTTATGTGGGCTTGGAATTTGATTCTGAAGAAGCGGCCAGGGCATTTTATGTTGAATATGCGAGACGGGTAGGATTTGTTGTACGCGTTATGCAACGTCGACGTTCTGGAATAGATGGCAGGACTCTTGCTCGTCGACTTGGATGTAACAAACAAGGATTCTCACCCAATAGCAAGAGAACACTGGGGCAAGAAAAAAGACCGATGCCCAGTGCCCGAGAAGGTTGCAAGGCAACAATTTTATTTAAGATGGAAAAATCTGGAAAGTGGGTTGTCACAAGATTTATAAAGGATCACAACCATCCACTAATTGCTACGGCTAATGGTTTCAGTACAGAGGTGAGTTTCATGCTTGCTTATAAATTTTTTACTCTAACTTTCCACTCTTTTAAGTAAATCTTCATTGGTTCTTAGGCATGGACTTTAGCATATACTTTGTTTTAGTACAGTGGTGAGAATAAATGTTTTTTATTTTCACACATCTGCCTTGCAAGTGACTGTTTGGCCTACAGAAGAGAAGTGTGGGTCAAAGGTACATCCCAAGATATGGAAGGTTTACACCTATATGCTGCACTGTCAGCTGTAGTTAGAGAGAGAGAAAAGTGCAATGTAACTGCTTTCTAAGTTAAAAAAGGGAGTGGATTGTATAGTGGGTATCTTTTAGAGTCATTGAATTAGTTGGAATGAAGAGTTTTCCTCTTCTGTAAATTCCCCAATTCCATGAAAGAATACCCAGATTTCTTTCTCACTTGTTTTACTATTCCATTGCGGTGTGTTGGTTCTTAGTTCCTATCAAAATGGTCTGACTTGCGGCCTATGAAGCACGGACACTGGAAACACGACACCGACACTGACATGTCGACAACAATAATAATTTGAAAAAAGGCATAAATTGAACGTAATCACAAGTGCCGGTGCCAATTTTGGACATGGAAGCCTTTTTTTTTTAGTTGTCCGTGCTACAAAGCCTGCGGCTGCTTGAGGTAAATGCCAGCAAAGAAGAAGTGATGGATTGAGGCTACCGTTGCGGCAATAGAAGCAGGGTTATTGGAGGTTCGTTCTGCCATGGAAGAGGTGCAGAGCACAACAAAGAAAACAAGAACAATTTTATCTCCATGTTGGAGAAATGCTTAGGTTGATTGCTCTAAACGAAGCCGGATGGGAGTGAGAATGAAGGATCTAGACCAAAGCTTGGCGGATAGGTGAAAACAACAATGGAAGTAAATCCACTTTGAAACTGTAATGCTTCTTGGTCTGGGATTGTGTTGACACAGTCCCAGACGCTTTAGAATTTTTCCCTTTGACCAATGGTGAAGGCAGAAGTGGGCTCATCCTTGACAAAATCTCTTGAATTCACAAGTTTTTTGATTATTGTTATTGATGTTTTTTATTTCCAATCTGAATGCCTTTAAATAGGCATATTAGAGTATAGTAGCAAGTCTGTAATTGTTTGCATATAATTAGCAAAACAGAATTACAGTTAGAAAGGAATCAGTTAGAAAGCTTTAGAAAGCTCTACAAGGTTGTTACAACAACCATATGCTGAGCTGTAACTGAGTGTAACTAAGTCAGTTCAGACTCAGACAATTATAAATAGCAGTTAGCTATTTCATGTAAGCTAACATTCAGTTTCTGTTAATTCATAACAGAATTATAAAACAGAATTCTCTCTTCTCTCAACCCTAACTAAATCAATATGAACAGTCATTCCTCCCTTCCATTTTTCTATTAAGGCTAAAGTAGAAGAAGATTACTAATTCGATTCCGGCGAGGCCAAGTAAACTTGCCGGGGGAATGCTCTAGATTGGGTCTAAAATCTAGATATTACCAAGTGAGGGTTAAACCTGAATGTCACGAGGTCATTATGGGTTCCTAGTAATGTCTTTGGGCTAATGAACACTCCCACTACCTTCCAAACAATGATGAGTGAGCTGTTTGATCCGTTGTTGAGGATGTTTATGTTGGTAATTTTTTATGATATACTTGTTTATAATAATGACTGGCAGGAGCATTTGATTCACCTACGTTCAGGTTTAGAGGTGCTAAAAAAGAACAGGCTGGTGGCTAGTCAAAAGAAGTGCCTCTTTGCTCAATCATATACAGATTAGTTGTGTATTTAATTTCTGGCGCAGGGGTAGTAGTAGACCAAGTTACATCAATAGTGTATTCAAAATTGGCCTATACCAAAGAATATGAAAGATGTTAGAATATTTTTGGGTTGACTGGGTACTATCACATGTTTATTAAGGACTATGGGAAGATAGCTCGGTTTCTAACCGAGTTGATGCAAAAGGATGGGTTTTGATGGAATCCTTTGGCTCAGCAACCTTTTGAGACACTAATGGAAAAGTTTACTACTATATCCGTTCTTGGACTGCTCAATTTTGAAAAAGAACTCCTCTTGGAGTGTGGTGCATATGACATTTGTGTTGGGGCAGTCCTCTTGTAGAAAGTGAAATCTCTAGCTTTTTCAGCAAGGCTTTGGGCACTAGAAATTTGTTTAAGTTGGTGTACGAGCAAGAGTTGATGACACTGGTCATGGCTATCCAACATTGGTGTCCTTGTTGGGACAACTTTTTGAAGTATATACTATCAGAAGAGTTTACGACAACTGTTGCAACTTTGCATATCCACTACTGACCAACAAAACTAGATTTCAAAATCATTGGGCTATAGCTTTGACAAAGTGTACAAGCCGGACGTCAAGAACAAGGGGCTGGTGCGCTCCCTCTCTCAGGTCAATGAACTAGCTGAACTGAGAATTTTTGTATCTTACCCGCACTCCCGCAGATGGAGGAAGGCTCACAGCCGCTGGATGAAGTTCACAAGGATCCTTTGTTACTCAAAATAATTGGGTGTAATAAAGGATACATGGAAAGAGGGCTGGGTTCACATACAGGCAAGGGGTGTTGTATTATTAGGGGCTGTTAGTAATATTAGCCCGGTCTAAAATAATTCCCAAATTGCTGCAAGAGTTTCATGCAGCTCCTCAAAGGAACATTCATGATTTTACCGAACCTATCATCATTTGGCTGCCAATGTTTATTGGGTCGGCATGAAGGGAACCGTTCAAGATCATGTGAGGTCTTGTGATATATGCCAAATGCAAAAAATACCATAAAAGTTATAGTGGTCATTACCACTTCGTTTACCGACCAAACAAAATGCATAAAATACCTTGCCACTTTTCTTGGCAGTCTTCTTCAACCCCTAACAATTCCAAAAATGGTATGGGAGGAAGTGTCGAAGGATTTTATAACGGGCCTTCCGAAGTCTAGAGGAAATGATGTTGCGTTTGTAGTGGTTGATTGGCTTTCCAAAGATAGCCATTTCATCCACTCAAATATCCTTAGACAGCCAGAACCATAGGAGAGGTTTTTGCAAAGGAAATCATTAAACTTCATGGAAAGCCAGCTGCCGAAGTTAGTGATAGAGAGCCTCTGTTTGTCAACAACTTTTGGAAATAATTATTCAGGTTGCAGGGAACCCAACTTAAGATGAGTTGGGCCTATCATCTTGAGTCGGGTGGACAAACAAAGATTGTCAACTTCTCTGTGTAGACTTACCTGAGGTGTTCTATATCAGATTTTAACCCAAAATCTGGCCACGTTGGTATTGGTTCAATATAACTTAATCATGCAGCTACAGGAAGAACCCCTTTTTAGGAATCTGCAAAAGGAAATCTCCAATCCAGGCATTGCTAGGCTCATGCAAGGAAAAATGAAGCCAAAAGCAGTTTAGCTGGAATTAATTGAGCAAGACGAAACTTTCAGAAGGACTAGGATGATGAACAATTGATGCAAATATCTGCATCCTTACTTCCTCTTCATTTTTTTGTGCTTGTTTGTAGGTTTGTCAAGTTATTTTGTTGTTATTTGTGCATATATGACATGAATAAAACGATTTCACCAGAAATTTGATTCTGAGTAAGATAAACGGTGGTCACATTGATGATTCTCAGTTCAAGTTGAATTGGAAGTAGAATATGAGTTTAGATAGTTTTAGAAATGTCTTGGTCCGTTTATTGTATTGAAATGAAAGGTCATGTTCTTTCTACACGCAATTAGTGTACTCTAATCTCTACTGTTATTGGAGTTGCATATGTGCAAGCAGGCAGAGATTAATTATTTTTCAAGTTGACAGAGAATAATAATAGTAATGATGTTAAAATGTAAAATAGTTAAATAGGAGATGTATTATAACTAAGATCAACCTTTAGTCATGTTTGTGATCCCTGTTGTGACCAGCATTATATCAGTGGAAGACCGAAAGCCAAAAATCTGTCACAAAAAGCCAGGGCCCTGCAATCCTTCACAAAAATGCCATGGTTATAAAAAAATCCACCATGGCTGATATTTGACTACACTGGTTGCAGCCAGCTGGATTGGGACAACCGGTATTTTCTTATTCGAGATACAAGGGGTGGATGATTGGGAAGTAAATAATGTATTTGTGGAGTTATGAATGCTTTTAGATATTCTATTCATTAAAATAATGTATTTGTGGAGTTATGAATGCTTTTAGATATTCTATTCATTAAATGGATGCTTGGTATATAAAGGTGCAAAGAAAGTTAAGCATATGATCGTTAGAATTGACTCTTCGGGGAACAAATGTTTTGCCACTTTATACCTGTTTTTGATTATATTTTATCTTTTAATTTCCAATTCTACTTGATCTGTTGATCCTTACCGTTTCAATTTAATTTTCCCTCTATCTGTAGGACGATAAAGATAAGAAAATTGCTGAACTTACTATGGAGTTGGAGCGCCAAGATGAACTTTGTACTGCATATAGAGAAAAGCTACTCAGCTTCATAAACAATGTTGAGGAACAAACAGAGGAAATGTCCACAAAAATTCAACTCACTATTGAAAATATAAGGAGAGCTGAGTCTGAAATGCAAAAAAGTTCCCAAAACAGAAAGCCTCAGGACTGTACATGAATGTATAAATGAACAAATATATAGTATATAATTTCACCAACTATAGTATTCTGGGACAGGGTGAGTATATAATTTCACTAATTATAAATACGGACACTTATTTTGAGACAAATAATTTTAGAATGTGTTCCTCTCTCTCCTCATGAGTTGAGGGAAAGGAGATGGGTAGCACATTAAATAGCATGCAGCTGTTAATACATGCTTTATTCCAGGGTGTTAAGCCATAGGGTATCTATCAAGTTTTGAAGAAAAAGAAATGAAGTACTAGTAGGTATCATATAAATGTCAATAGTTCTAAACTCTTTTAACTTTAGTGTGATTATTTTGCTGGAAACTTAATCAATGCTCATTTAGTCATAAAAATATTTTGAAATTATATTATGATGAATACAATTTCCTTTCATTTAATACAAGTTTAACACCCAGAAACTAATTCTTCAGAGACAGGTCTCATCTCATGGATATTACATGACATAGAAATGACAATTGTACCCATATTCAATAGATATCCACAAAAAATATCCATAATAAGTAACGTAAAAATTTGTAAAAGGATTCAGGTGCAGATAGGGATAGTTATTTTATTAAAATATGCGAGTATGGGTTTGCCTCATACTTATTATAATGTATATTTATATATTTTGATTTATATTATCATATAAAAAATGTTTTTATTAAAATATGCGGGTATGAGTTTGCCCCATACTTATTATAATGTATATTTATATATTTTGACTTATATTATCATATAAAAAATGTTTGTCTCTTTAAAAGAATACATCACAATTAAATTATTATACATTTTAATATAATTGTATAATTGTTTGTTTTTTTTATAATTCAAAATATTTGATTTTTTTTAAAATTTAAAATGATATAATATTTTAAAAAATGCTAAGAATACTTTTTTTAACACTTTCTACCACTCACTCTTTTATTAGATAAAACACATATAAATCTCTTACTTTTATTTTAAAATAAATCCTACGTGAAATTGTAGGATCCACATCTAATTAAAAAGGGAGTGTTAGAGTGACTATTAAAAATAAAATATTTTAAATATTTTTTAATCAATAGATTTATTTTTATTAAAATTGCAAGTACGAAGATTAGGACGCACGTGAATATATGCTGAGAATATAGATTTTTTAAAACTACTCATTTAGAAAGTATCCAATTCATACCGGACGGCTCTAGCTATTGCCATTACATATTAATAATTCTAGTAGGTAACAATAAATAGATGACATTGGTCATGGCGGCGATGATCATGAACACAATGAGTTGATCATTAAATTCGATAATATTTTCTCTATTATATTTATAACATATTGTCTCTATTATAACATCCTGTATAGTGAAAAATCAACAATTCTCTATCATAACATATTGTCTCTATGGTATAGTGAAAATTCAACAAATTCTCTAATCATTAAAGTGCTTTTGAAATTTAAGTGTGATTTGATTTTCTTTTTTCTTTCTTTGTAAAATATAATATTTTTATATAATAATTTTTATTATTAAAAACAGAGAATTAACAATATTTGTCTCATAAGAAATGCATTCTCAAATATTCTTTGAAATGAATACTTTAACAGTGTGGTAACATGGAGAAATTATATTTACTTAATGTTTGTGACAGTTTCACACCAATATAAATTATGGTTTTGTTGTCCCCTCTTCGTAACCACTATTTAGTGAGGACATCTCTCTTCATAACCACTATTGATCGAGGACATTATTAATTGCACCCATACATTATTCACTTACTTTAGCAAAATTTCCAAAATTAAGATACTTCTCGGAGGTGTTTCTCAATTTGAGAGGGTTTTAACATAGTTGAAAACGTTAAAAATAATGTTTTAAAAATTAGACCGATTATTATGTTAAGAGTATTTGATTATTGATTTATTAGTCGAACCACTAAATTATTGGTTGGTAGTTGAAAATATTGAAAATAGTATTTTAAAAATCAAATCGATAATCAAACTGATGAGAGTACTAGATCACTAATTTATTGGTCGAACTATTAAATTATTGATTGACAGTTGAAAACATTGAAAAAAATATTTTAAAAATCAGACTGATAATCCAATTGATGAGAATACTAGATAATTGGTTTATTGGTCGAACCACTAGATCATTAGTTGAATTGTATAATTAAATCGAATTAAATTGAATAATTCGATTGAATAAACCGATATCTATAACAAAACTAGTTATTAAACCAATTAAAACAAATGACTTGTCTCTAAAAAAAAGTTACAACACCTAAAGATAAAGAAATAAAAAAATTAAAAATAAATATTTTCTAAAGATTATATTTATAATTAACTTAGGAAAGAAAATTAACTTATAAATATTAGAATTAAAATTTAAAATAACATAAATATTAGTTTTAATAAAATGTTAATTTAATATAATTGAGACATCTAAAAGAGATTACAAGACTCCAAAAATCTAGCATTTTTAAAAAGCGTGGCAAATTGAAGGAAAACCTCCCGTAAATATTTAGATTTTAAAATTCAAACAAGTCTATTTGTGTATTTGATACGTAAATTGTAACTCTTTTATAATATGCGGTGTATTCAAATTTCAAATATTCACATGGTATTCAGATTAAATAATTTGGATATTTTTAGATGTATTTGGTGTGTGTTGCGGTGGAAATAGGATCACAAACTATTAATGAGTTTGAATCGCAATTCAATTCACAACCGCTCTTTGATTTATCCGAAGGAAAAGGTCAAAAAGGGAAAACCTATTTTGCATCGTAAACACAATGCGGGGAAAGATCTAGGGTTCGGGGGTTGGTTAAATTAAGGGAAGGTATTAACACCCTAAACTTCTGTAGTACTCTACGGGAACCTTTTGTTCAAATGTTTACTATTTGCTTTATTTATTTGCTTAAGGTATATGTACAAAGGATTTAAAAAGTGAGAAAAAAAGACCTAAGGGGTTAATTCTAAGTTTACTCGGCAAGACATCGCATCTTGTGCCTACGTATCCTTACGGGAGTGGAATCAGAGTAATCGTAGTTCCCCTCAATAGGGAGGTTAGAAACTTCTTGACTGTGGTCAAGGTCTCAAGGGGAATAAACGCGTCTTAAGGACACGCTTACGTGGAGTGTAGAAACTCCAAATCTCTACGTTGAAATGTTAAGTTGTAATTAGGGTTAAATTAGGGATTCCACGGCGGGAAACCCTAAAATGAGCGCGGCGGCTCTTTGACCTAATGCCAGGGGTAAAATTGTAATTTTGCCCGTGGCGAGGCATTTGTGAAAATTAGGGTTTGTAAAGGTGTAAGGGTTAAAGTTGAGGTTGAGGACTATTGACACGGCGGTCAAACGGCTAGACCTAATTCCTTCGGAGGAGTGAGATTATTGGTAAAGACGCGATAAACATACAATGGCAGAACATAAAGTGCGGAAAGATAAATGCGACAATTGTCTCGCAAAATTACATCCCATAAGCAGTTACAAATATGATAATTGAATATTTAAACTGAAAATAAAATCAATTGAACTTAGTCAGCTGCAAAAAACCAAAACGAACCGAGACTGTTATTATACGGGGTTAGACAAAAAATTAGACGGGAATGTTAGGAATTTAAGTAGAAAATTATAATTAACGAAACAAGAAAAAAGGTTAGAAATTTGGATCTTAAAAATGAGGATGTTAGCGAAAAATTAATAAACAATGAAAATTAATATGCAAAGAAGATGGCGATAACATACAAGTGATAATGGAATATGAAATAGCAACGATGATGTTAGATTATGTACAAATATAAAAATAAATACAAAAATAAATAAATAAATATTAGTGAACAGGTTCATGGATAATCAAGAATACTGTTAGGAATGAAGGATGAAAATTGGAATTGACGATAATTAAAATTTAAGTGATGAATGTTTTGAGACGGTGAGAATTTAGGTAATTAGAAAAGAGTTAGAATGGAATTAGGTTTTTTTTTGTGAGATTTGGAAAAGTTAGAGTTTTTAATGTGATTAAGAAAAAGAAAATAAATTAAAAGTTAGAATTAAAAGTTAGCAAAAAAATTAGAACTTCGAAATTTGATTTTTAAAGAAAAGGTTAGAAAATAAAAATAAAAGTTTGAAAATAAAAGAGAAAAGGTTAGAATTTTAATAAAAAAAAGAGTTAGAATGTTAGAATTTTAATTAAAAAAAAATGGTAGAAATTTTGAAAAAAAGATATAAAAAAGATTAGAAATTAAAAAAAAGAAGAAAAAAAAAGAAGAGTTAGTTACTTTTGATGAAGACTGTAAGAGTTTTTGATGCTTGTCGATCCCCCCGTTTTGTTGCTCCTGAGGGTCCTTTTATACTTGATTTTTTAAAATCTTTTCCAATCTCAGATTTGATTTGAATATCTCAATCTTTTTCAATCTCTGATTTGATTTGAATGAATTTTTATGATGATTTCAGATTTGATTCAATGATGGTGATGTTGATATTTAGATCTGATTTTCTTATGATGATGATATGATCTGATTGATTTGATTTTGCTCCATCTGGAATTCATTGGGATTGGATTTGATTAAAAAAGTGTTGGATTTAAATTTAAAAAGTTAGCAAAGAAAATAAGAGTTTCAAGTTAAATAAAAATTAGAATTTTAAGTTTCAAAAAAATGAGTTAGAATTTTAAAATAAAAACATTTGAATGTTGATTTTAAAAATTGTTAGAATTATTTTAAAAACTGTTAGAATTTCATTTTAAAAGGAATTTAGAATTTAAAAAAAAAAAAGAAAAAGAAAAGGGCGTTAGAATTTAATTTTAAAAAGAATTTAGAATTTTAATTTGAAAAATAAAGGTGTCAAAAAAAGATTTAGATTTAATTTTAAAAAAAGTTAGATTTAATTTATAAAAAAAAGGTTAGATTTAATTTTTAAAATAGTTAGAAAAAAAAGATTTAATTTTAAAAAGAAGTTAGAGAAAAAAAAGATTTAATTTTAAAAAGAAGTTAGAGAAAAAAAAGATTTA